GGTAGTTCATGAAATTGGGGTAAATTTTGAATATGAAAAAACACAATTATCTAAAAATCTGAAGAAATATTATAACTTTATAATGCATGCCTAGTTAGAGGGAGAGAAACTAAAGCTTGAAATTTTGAAATGACCATATATAAGCAAGTTTGAGATATGCCATATTGGTGTTGGGGCGCTTAGCAGTGGTATTATTGAGTCTTATTATAAATCTTGGACTCCATTCTCACCAAATGATAAGGATCGAAATCCTCACTGACTAACATTTTTTTTTTAATTACCAAAAAAAATCAAGAGATGAATAATTCAAATTTTTTATAATTGATTTTCATAGATTCGATATGATCGAACTAGATTATTTAGAGCAAGCAAATCGAGACCTGAAGAAGATGAAATAGAGAGAAATTGACAAGTTGTATATATTTTTTTTAACAAGAGGATAATTAGCATTTTATGTTGTTTTTTTTAAGAGTGGGTTTTTAGCAAAGGCTCATCTTTGGAAAACAGTAATAGAAGATAATAAGTTGTTTTTAGGAATGTTGCTCTTATAGATAAGAGGGTTATGTTTTAGAAAAGATAAGTCTTTAGAAAGATAAGGAATAGGCCTTTTTTGTTTTTATTTTCGTAGGGAGAAATTTTTTTTGTAGGGAGATTTTTTTTTTCAGAAAGATAAGTGGAACAAATTGGTATTATATTTTTTTTTGATTTTTTGTTTTTAAGAGCGGTGGAATAGGACATAGGGTGGCAACAGGTCTGGGTTGGTCTGGCTGGACTCATACCTGGACTCGAAGGTCCAAAGTGCCCCAAGCATGTATCCGTACCAAGAACATGGGTTAGGATCTGGGATCCGACGCGTACGCGTGTCATTACAGTTCGGGTCCCCTTTACCCGACCCAAACCTTGGCCTGATAATTTCAAGCCAAAAAAAAAATCAATAAAATTATAAAAAACCTGTAAATTCAATGCCAATATATGTAAAAAAAACCTGCCCAATATTTTTTACGTAAAAATTTATGAAATACGTAATAAAATCTCAGAGAGAGATGACAAACAAATAAATTCAATGGCAATAAACTTAGTGGCCATTCTTCTATTTAACAAATGGGAAAGATTTCTATGCTTCCCTTACAGCATAAAAGTTCTATCCCCTCCCTACCATCCAGCCGTCCAATTTTGATCAAGAGAGCCACTCATCATTTGATTTTAGATCTGACGTCTCAAAGTTTTTTTTTTTAGTTTTTTTATACAAATTGTATGAATATGAAATTTGGTAGGAGTCATCTTCTCATTGGGGCGCACCTATAAAAACTATTAAAAATAATTTTTCGATAAAATATAATGAGCAGAATACCCCTTGACACTTTCAGGGGTATTTTGGTCATTTTATTTTATTGAAAATATTTTTTTTATATTTTTCTGTAGTGCGAGTTTAATAGAGAGTGGACGTCCAAATTTTGGTTTGAAAATAGTTTATAAAAAAAAATTAAAAATAAAATAGTATAGAGACGTGGCATTGTAATTGGGGCAATCTTAACCCTCCATTTAAAATGGACAGCTGGCTAAAGGAGAGGATTGAACTTCTATGCTAGAGGGGAAGCATAGAAAGCTTTCCCTTAACAAATTGCTTCTTCCACATAGAAAGTTGCTTTAATGCTTTCATTGAACAAGATCCAAATCAAAGAACACAACATGATCATCTCAAAAACAATTGCTAGAATTCCTGCATCATCCCTTCCTTGCCGACAACAAGTGCTTTTTTGGTGAGGGAAAATTACTCCAATTCTTAGGGTAACGTTCTTGATTCTTCCATTCTTCCACCTCCAATCCAACAATAACAAAGAGAAAAAATCAAAAGCAATAAATAACAAACCACCATAACATAGAAATGTAGGACATAATGCATTATTAAACGCCCTACATGATATTTAAGCCCAATAAAATCAGATTCACTAACATACTGTGAAATGAACATGTAGATTGAACATGCCCGTCAGAGATGACTCAAATAGACTTCATATTGCTCTGAAAATCCTAATAGTGAAATGATAACCTGATATATTACACAAAATTTATGGTGAGACCATTGTTGTTTGTCCTCATTTACCTCCATATTAGTTACATAATCATATATGAAACTGTTCAAATAAAATGCATCAAAAACTTTCCACCTGCAACAAAGAGAATGCTTGAATGTATGTTGCTGAGTAAGAATAGTTGTCTACTTATGCCGGTACATACTATGATAGATATCCTGATGACAATACACATATTTCAAGCATTTGTCCAAATCAACAATTGTTAACTCAATTAATTGTGTTAATGCACACATAACATAGAAATCACACAGTTAACTGTGAAATCAGTGAAATTAGCAACTGTTAACTCAATTACATGTGTGTTAACACATACACAATATACAAATCACACAGCTAACTGTGAAATCAGTATAATCGTCAACTGTTAACTCAATTACATTACATGTGTCTTACTCTTAATGCATACATAACATACAAATCACATAGTTAACTGTGAAATCAGTAAAATCAGCAATTGTTGACTCAATTAAATGTGTGTTAACACACACGTAACGTACAAATCACACAATTAACTGTGAAATTAGTAAAATCAACAACTGTTCACACAATCAACAATGTGTTAACGCACATATAATTTGACATTAATATTGACAGTAAACACAACAACATAGTAACACTATTACACAGTAACACAGTAAACAGTAAAAATAGTAAACAACAAACTAAGTGTTGTGAAATACAAAAAATATATTAGAGAATTGATACTTGAGACGTAAGAAAAAAATTCACATGTTCAATATTCAATCGCAATCCTCAATTTCATTATCAACAGTGGAAGCGGGAATGTTGAAAAATGACGCACATGCATCCTCTAAGACTGAAACACATATAGAATGACAAAATTTCAGTTCTAGAAATCAACAATTATGGAAAATAATCAATTTTGAAATTAAAAATTGTTTTACCTTCTAAATCATTATGCAACCAATTTTATATACACATTAATGCTTGCACGGTTGGTGGAAGCAGGAATTGTGATACTGGTCTAGAACTCGTCCCATAGTATGAAACGCTAACTCAAATGCTATTGTGAAAGTAGGAATCACCAAAATATCGCTAACCATTTTTGAGAGATTGGGGAACCTTCGTGCATTGGATAGCCACCAAATTAAAATATTAAACTCTTCATTCAATAGTGGTTTCGAAAAGGCAGGTTCCTCTAAATATATGTCAAATTCTGATCTTATTAGCATGCTAGTGGAATTCTCTTAAATGAATATTTGATATTCCATCTATCTCATATGACGAGTAGCAGAGTCACTGTGGGAAGAAGATTCATCACCAATTGAACTACTTCAAATATTGGAACTAGATGATTCATTTGATTCATACTCTTTATTTAGGTCATAAACCCGTTGTCGAACCATCATCATTTCTTGTGTCGCCTCATCACCATATATTTTTGGATAGTAAAAATCAACCAATGCAAATTTATACCGAGGATCAACAACATACGCAATCGCCAATGCTAAACTACATATCCTCTAATATTTGTCAAACTTCTTTTCCATTTTCGTGGCTATAGAACTAATATACTCAATAGAGCTTAAACACCATTATCTCAGACACAAATGAATCTCACATATTTCGAGGAAATAGAGATTAAAAGTTGGATACTTGTAGCATCATAATTTTTTTAGCATCAAAAAAATATTTGTAGCATCATAAATTTTTTCAAATAATTGCAAATATGTTTTGTTGTCTCCCAATCAGCCTAAGATAGAACCAAATTATTCATTGATTATCGTTGAGCAATGATAAAATTCATCTTTTAGCTTGAAGGCAACCTCTAGCATTTTGTATGCCGATTCTATCGAGTTGGAACATCAAGACCTATATATGTTTTATCTTTCAATACTAAGGAACTTGATTCCCTCATTAAATATTTCTTGTCTTCCTTGAGATCCTTTCGGGCATGTTTGATAACTGGAAGCAAGTTCATGAACTGTAAATTGGAAGTTTTTGAAGAACTACAAATTAGAAGTTCCTGAAGAAGTTTCTGGTTTCTGTGTTTGATAGCATCTCTGGGAAGTTAAAAAGTTCCTGGTTTCTGTGTTTGATAACCTCTTAAGAAATTAAGAAGTTCTTGGTTTCTGGGTATATGTATTAGATTAGCTTTAAATAATAGGTAAGATGTAAATGTTAAAATTGAGACCTAGATATTGTTTATTTTTTATTAATTTGTAGAATATTATTTTTTGGAATATAATATCAATTGAAAGTAAAGTACGTTGGATTGAGAGAGAGAGAGAGAGATAGAGAGAAAGAGAGTTATGAGAGAGTTTTATTGATGAGTGAGAGAAGCGCCCTAGACAACGATACATTTGTACACCAATTGACGCAAATGTTCCATGATAAACTTCATTGCACCTCAAAATTAAAGTAGTCTATAGACAATGTCAAGTACAACCTCAATTTAATTAAGTTTAAAAAATAACCTGTAATAGTTTAAAAATACATAATTAAAAATGTAAGAATTAAAAAATCAGCCCATTCAAACACACATGCATAATGCAAAAAGTAAGAAATCAGCCCATTCAACAATAACCCGTAATAACTTGAGCATTACTTACATTCAACATTGATACATACGTATCCCAGCCTAAAAAATATGTCATTCACAATTAAAACATATACATCATTCACAAGTCATGTATACAACATTTGTGTGCTCTCTCTCTCTCTCTCGCTAAGATTATAATGGCACACAACATTTGTATGTTATGTGTTAAGACATTTGTGATGCATGTCAAGCAAAATGCACAATTCATGCGTCCATAAAGAAAACCATGTACATAACTAACCCATTCAACAATAACTTGTAATAATTTAAACATACATAATTCAAAATGCAATAAGATGAGCACAACATTCGACGAGGATTCAAAATTTGTGGCCACAAAATAATGTCCATATGAATGTAGACCAAGGTTTAATTACAAGTTCTAACAACTTAGGTACGCCTCCTACAACTGCGTCGCCATGACATCTCGCAAACTCATGTCAACGTCATGATCAGTATGCCTCTAAGTCAGTTGCGAAAACCATCATCTCAGTCAATTAAGAGTTGACTCTTAACCCTCCTTCGAAAATACAGCTCTCTTATGCTATCGGCTCCCCATGTCATCATGATGTAGCTATACAATATTGCACATGCAATAACTACACCAACCTTGTGATTTTGAAGAGCTCGTGGGCTTGAAGTAAATTCGTTTAGATGGTAACAGACTCTTCGATATGGTCCTATGAAACCACGCATAGTAGGATACCCACCATCTACAAGATAATATTTTCCTGTACTATGTTTGTGCAATGAGTATATTGTAAGGCCAAATATTACACTACAAAATATTGTACAAAACGAAACAACGAAACACAGGAAAGAACGGGGTTACCCTCAAGCATTGCAAGCCTATTGTGTTCATTACTAATTGCGTCATATAGGACTTTAGAATCTGATGCAGATCCTTCCCAACTTGCAAGTACATAAAGGAAGCGCATATTGAAACCAACCGCAATCATAACATTCTGACTTAAAAAAAAATTTCTGTTTAAAAAACGATTATGCAATCGATTACAAACTCGAGCACGAGTCTCGTCAATAGCTCCGACACAATCCTATTAAGAGAAATAAATCATATTATTATATATTAGTTCTCAGTGGATGTGAAAACAACAATACAGATTACTTGACACTCGCATATCTTGAAATATAGGTAAACGCGTAATATATCACCAACAATGTTGACCAATGTTTCATAGCTTGCTAGTTGTAGGAACAAAGGGTCACGATGACTTTTAAGACTCTATGGACGAAGTACCTTATGGTTTGCCCTGAATGTTGAAACCATTCCTAAACCACCATATTCCGCTAATCGTGCGTGAAAATGCTTAAAATATAGCTACTTGTTCATCAACTGCCAAATATCTTGTACCTGTAATGCTTGTCCTCTCATTTAACAAATTACATAGACTGATAAAAACACATCTTTCCATTCATAACTTGTCGAAGCACTTACGAGGGTGTCCTGACAGCAAGTATTGGACATAATTGGCCCCAATAAAAATTGAAGTATGAACATACCTTCTCTTCGTTTGCGTGGTGATATATAAATATGCATTGTATATGCAGCACATAATATTACCACCAACCGACGCTGTTGGGGATCCATAACTAGAAATGGAAGAAAGCATCTATAACCATAAATCAATCTTCAATCAAACCATTATCTGAACGAAGCCACCCACATCCATAAAGCAATATTTGACATTAAAACAAAAGAAATCATCCACATAGATATTTATAAGATGCAAGCCATAAAGTAATATTTAATCAAACCATTAAATGAAAACAATCTTTGACATTAAAACGAAAAAAGCCATCCACATACATATTTATAAGATGCAAACCATTAAACCAATCTTTAATCAAACCATTAAATGAAATAAATCATCCACATCCATAAAAAAAATCATGAAGCAACCTTTGACATTAAATTGAAAAAAAATATCCACATATAAATGAAAGAACTCATCCAATACATATTTATACTATTAAAACCATAAAATAATTTTTATCAAACCATAATATGAAAGAAACCATCCACATCCATAATGAAAACCATGAAGAATTTTTGTAACGCATCTCAACATCAAGATGTATCGACATGAGAAAAAAATGGATTTCAAGCTTTGAAAATATTGTATTTTGTAACGCATTTTTTGACCGTTGATCTTCAAGATTTTCAAATATTTATAAATCTATCGATCTACACTATTTTGAAGTTTTAAAATTTATAAATAAAGATGAAAATATATTTTCATGCTATCACAAATATTTCCACTATTGAAACTAAATTTGTAGATAGGCTCTAATTTGATTGTTTAGAGCCTAGGCTCTATACAAACCGCACCCTATTTACAAACCGCACCCTATTTATAATATGCAAACCATAAAGTAAACAGAGTCAATCAAATATTTAGAGGTGTTTCATCGCTTCATCCAATTAAGCCATTTGTATCCTTCGATCCTCCAAGTTTATTAATATTTCCGCCTTTGTAGAATCTTGGAAGATCCTTGCTGCCATTACAAAAACATTATCACCAACTTCACCAGCTCTCCACATGGCTTCAAGAATCTTTGAGGCCTCTCTCCGAGCCTTGGACGGACTGTTACCTGCGGTGTCACGTGTTAGCATCGTAATGCTATGGGCTATCTCTGGCATGGCTTTAATTATCGAGTCAGTGAAAGTAGGCTGCTTTGATCGGCGATGTGTTCCTACCGGAGTATGGGACCGTCGTCTTTTTGATCCAGATGATACTGAGTCATTAGATGAGGATGAGCTAGATTCGACCTGGACTTCTAAGACAGTTGTATATCTTAGAAAAAATATATCAGATTTCATGAACCCATAAGCATTATTCTTAAAAAAAAAAGGTAACAAAATAAGCACGGTAGCTACAACATTCACAATTGGAGCTACGTAAAACTCACCAAACCCAAAAACAAAAATCACAAAAAAGTAAGCAAGATTATTCTCAATTCCAGTTTGTGTTCAACATTTTATTCACAAACAGGAAGCAAGGTTAGCACTATATCACAGAGAAAGCGGTCAAAAACCCAAATACAAAAATAAGCATATTCAATAAGAAAATGAAAACATTGGTAATTCATGCACATCTTGTTTGCATAAAAAGATATAAACAAACCCACATCATAACTGTATATCTTAGAAAAAATATATCAGATTTATGAACCCATAAGCATTATTCTTAAAATAAAAAGGCAACAAAAAGAACACGATAGCCAAACCCAAAAACAAAAATCACAAACAAGAAAACAATATTATTCTCAATTCCAGTTTGCTTTCAACATTTTATTCACAAACAAGACGCAAGGTTAGCACTATATCACAGAGAAAGTGGCCAAAAACCCAAATACAAAAATAAACATATTCAATAAGAAAATGAAAATATTGGTAATTCATGCACATCTTGCTTGCATAAAAAGATATAAACAAACCTACATCATAGCTGTACATCTTAGAGAAAATATATCAGATTTCATGAACCCATAAGCATTATTCATTAAAAAAAGAAAGGTAGCAAAAAGAGCATGGTAAATACAGCATTCATAATTAAGCTAAGTAAAATTCAACAAACTCAAACATTAAACTAACAAAAAAGTAATATTACCATAGTTATGTACTCATGAAAAAAACTCCCACACCATAGTTATCTACTCATGAAAAAAAGAACGAATATGAAGAACTCTAGCCATAAAGGATCAAATCAAATAACCATAGATCAGTAACAAAAATATTAAATAAGAAGGAATTGAAATAACCAAAACGGCCCATATAACTAAGAACCAAGCCAATTAAAAATATATTCAATCTATTTATTCAAAACAGGCGAACTAAAGTCACCGTAAGTAGAATCCCTATCAAGGAGGGCACCAAGAACCTCTAATGACCCAGAATGAAACAGAAAAAAAAAGAAAAAAAAAAAGAAAGTGAACACCAAGAACCTCTAATCACCCTGTAAGATGCAATCATGCCAAGAAGGAACTCAAAATAACTCAGTAAGATGCAATCATGCCAATTATGCCAAGAACCTGTAATTTTAATATACATGCTGCAAATTAACTCAAAATATGCCAAGAAGAAAAACATGAAATACCTAACTCGAGTGAGATGCAATCTATTAACAAATATCACAAGACCGAATCACTTTGCTTTACCTACTAATGTTTGAAAATGGGGCTCAGGAGAAGGAACTCACCCCCTTTCAACTCAGAAAAATCTTAATCAACTCATCAAAGTCCATGCTAAGTAACACAATGAGCCAAATAAACACAAAAAAAAAAAGACTCAGATTTTTGTACAAACTATTTGAATAATCAATTTGTAACTAAGCTCTATTTTTTTTGTAACTGAGCTCTGTCTATTGGGCTGTTGCGAAAAATCTGTAAAATCGCCAAATAAACACAAAAAAAAAAAGGAACTCAGATTTTATTACAAACTGTTTTCATAATCAGTTTGTAACTGAGCTCTATTTTTTTTGTAACTGAGCTCTGATCTATTGGGCTGTTACGAAAAATCTGTAAAATCGCGAAATAAACACAAAAAAAAGGACTCAGATTTTATACAAACTGTTTTTGAATAATCAGTTTGTAGCTGAGCTCTATTTTATGTGTAACTAATCTCTGATGTATTGGGCTTGTACAAAAAAACTGTAAAATCACCAAATAAACACAAAAAAAAAGGACCCATTTTTTATTCCAAACAGTTTGAATAATCAGTTTGTAACTGAGCTCTATTTTTTTGTAACTGAGCTCTGATCTATTGGGTTGTTACAAAAAATATGTAAAATCAGAAATAAAAAGGTATGCTATTCACTCTGATTTTATCAAATAAAACACATCAATCCTATTTGCTGTGGTTAGGGCAGTTGGGGATAAATACCTCGAGAAAGATGAAGAACACAGATCAGAGCTCAATAGGAAGGATCAGAGCTCAAAGAAGAGATAGACAGAGATTACGAAAATCAGAGTCAATAGCATACCTCAAGATCAATAACACATAGAGAATAAGAGCTCTTTGCTTCAAGAGCTCAAGAACAAACACAGAGATCAATAACACAGAGAATAAGAGCTCTTTGCTTCAAGAGCCCAAGAACAAACACAGAGATCAATAACACTGAGAGAATAAAGTCAATAACATACCTCAAGATCAATGGCAAGGATCAGAGTTCAAGGACAGCTGAGTAAACCCTAGCGAGGGCTGCATGCAAAGAAAGGGGTTTGCCTGAGATAGTGGCGTGCTGGGAATAGAGGGCTGGCTCAGCAGCTGAACTCGAAGAACAGAAGAGAGGGGTCGTGCTGTGAAGAGAGGGGTGCTCAGTGGCGAATATGGGAAGCTGCAACGAGAGGGGTGCTCAACGGCGAAGATGGGAAGCTACGAAGAGAGGGGTGCTCAGCAGGGTGGGTGCTCAGCGGCGAAGAAGAGAAAAGGGGCTAGGGTTATTGAAGGGGAGGAGTTACGAACTTCCAATTTTAAGTTCTGACCTTTGGGTCGAAACTTTTTTTTACAAAGGGACGTAAGAAGATGAACAATAAATTGAAGTTCTTATTTGAAGTTATCATTTTTTATCAAACACGAAAGTTGAAGAGTACTAAGAAGTTCTCAACTTCCAGGAAGACACTTCCTATTATCAAACACACCCTTAATGAACTTGATAATATCTCAGATCTTGTCAATTATCTTTATCTTGTGTACAATATAATTTAGAATATGGCACAACAATGGACGTAGAACATCTTACCATCAAATACAAGTGAGGGCTTTAGAGATAATTGAGTAACTAGAGATGATGCAGCTATGTCATTGTATAATGCCTTGTCCAAAGTTACACTAAAACAATTTATTTTCAATATTCCATTGCATAAATAAATCCATGAGAACAGTAGCAATAACATCCCCAGTATTAGGAGATGACACATATATAAAACTACGGATTATTTTTTGCAAAAAGTCATGCATCATCAATATAATGGGCAGTCAAGCATAGATAATATTAGTTACAACATGATGACCATATGTTTGTGGTGAGACTAATATGACTAGGGATCTTGTCTAAAACCTCATGCAATTTCTTCATTTCTTTTCTGTAGATTTTCAAGATCATATTTTATGGTATTGCGACTAACCATCTTAAATAATGGTTGCAGATTTTTCACAAAAGTCTTAAAACCAATATGCTCCACAACTAAAAAGGGTACTCATGCAAGACAATCACTTTTGCTAGATCACTTCTACTTCGCTCTTTCACAAATTTATAATTGCTTAAACCCCTTCCCCTTTCTCAAAAGAAGCCATTTTCATTTTTTGACCTGGACCTAAATGCACGCTCCTAAGACATGTCATTTAGTGTTTTTTCAAATGGCTAGTCCCATGTTGACTAGCCCCATCTAGCTGCTTCTTACAATATTTACAAAACAGATTTTAGAATACCCTCTACATCTGTAATTTTTTCAGAATCTACCCAAACTGACGAAGTAGTTTTTATGTTTAGGGGATGAGGCCCTATGGGGTCACAATGACATCTCTACTGTTCTCATATCTTGATTTTCACCCTCAACATAGATGATCTACTGAAAAAAGAATAGCAAATTGTTCAAAAACAGTTGAAATACTATAGTTCCTATGACCTATATTAAGGAAACCACTATAGTTTGAAATAGACATTCATAATAGAAAGACATGATCATATTAAGAACACAATAATATCAGAAAAGAATATAGCACCAAAACAGATGTATATGCACAACTAGAAAGACATGTATAAAGGGTAACAATTATGGCAACACACAATGAAGTATGAAGACCAGTTCACAGATGTATATGGAAAACTAATTTTTTAAGTAATAATGTATGAACTAAAATTATCTAAGAATAAACACCATGAGGAGAATAAACATATTCATTGTCTGGTGAAATACATTGTAAGCATATAACAAACATTCCATAAGGCTTAACACATAAACAAGAATTCCATGCTTGACTTATGAATACCCAATACCGAAAAAATGTCCTAGACTGATACAAATGGCCAAAATCAGTAACCCATTATTGCATAGAGAGGAGAGACATGGCATATATTCCAAATTAAAAATTCAGAATATAGTGCAATTAAACAACAAAAAATCACGAGAAAAGGAGAAGCAATCCACAAAAAATTGTTAATGGAATGAAGACCATCGAAGGAAAAAACTATTGGATTGAGCTATTTTCAGGCACTTAGTTTCAAAAGTTTGAAACAATTGCAATTTTTTTTAAGATTTTCGTCACTTTTTTTTTAAAAAAGAAAATTTGTGGGTTTTCAAAGATAACAGAGGAGAGAGATGGGGATTGATTTCTTACCTTCTTCCATTTTTCGAGGAGCCTTAAGGTCTAAGCTAACGAGCTTTCGTCCTATTGATAGGCGAGAGGGAGAAAGCTCAGAGCGAGGCAGAGCAGAGGCTAGGGTTTGGTCGGTGGACCTCGAAATAGAGATAGGAAGAGAGGGCTCAGAGAGACTGAGAGAGGTAGTGCAGAGTTGTAGAGTGTTGATGCTAGGGTTTTTGGGTTTTGCTGTAAGGGTTGCAAAAACGAAATGCCACGGGATGAAGAGAGCTCAAAGAGACTGAAAGAGGCAGATCACGAGAGGAGAGCATAGCTGCAGAGTGCTGAGGCTGCTAGGATTTGGCCGTGGAGGTTCGGGGGAAATGCGACAAGATGAGGGGGATCAGGGTTTGGTAAATAGGTGAAGTTACTTTAGGTTGTAATTATTTAGGTTAATTACATTTTAGAAATTTTAATAATTTTCTAATAGGTTAATTAATAATTAATAAGTATTTAATTAATATTATAAATATAAAATGAGTAGTGGTGCTATGAGACCCTCGTACATCTATGAGTGTAGGACTCAAAGAATCACCATTAAATTGGGTATAGATCTTAAGAAAAGTTATCATATGGATGTAAGACTTGATTTTTCTAGAGATCTGTGCCAAATTTAATGATAATATTTGAGAGTCTGGGTGTAGGAGGGTCTCGTAAGATGAGTAATGATTCTATGCGACCCTCCTACACCTATGTGAGTAAGATCCGAAATGATTACCATTAAATTTGCCTAGTAAGACCCCAAGTGATTACCATCAAATTTGCCTAGTAGAACCCCAAATGATTACTATCAAATTTAACACAAATCTCTAAAAAAAGTCAAGTTCCTTACGCATGTAATAACTTTTTTTGAGATCTGTCCCAAATTTGATGGTGATTCTTTGGGTCTTATTCACATAGGTGAGAGAGGGTCTCATAATGTCAGTTTTCTTAATTTATATATAATAAATCTAGATCGGGTCCCATATCCGACCCATATCTATTTCGGGTCCAATCTACCGAATCGGACCCAGACCTGACCTGTCGAGTCCAAGTGCTGGACTCATACTCGGACCAGGGTTAGGTATACCCAACGGGTCTCACGTTGAGTCTAGGTCCATTGCCATCTTTAATAGAACAGTAAAAGGCTTAACATTTTTTTAGTAACATTTGTCAAAAAAAAAAAAAAAGAAAAAAGAAAAGGCTTGCTCTAATACCAACTCGCGTAAGGGTAGTTATCGACAACCACACTCGAGAATATAATTATGTATTTATAGAGAAATTATCAACTAAGAAAGGATCACAAGAAAAATGGCACAAATGTGGGAATGTGAGACCTCCACCATGTATTATAAGAGAAAAACAAAGAAAAGAAGCCCTCCTCTGTTTACATTAAACCTTTTTTTTTCGCAACATTTTTTCCATTCACCAAAATAAAAACCATCCTTTTTACAATGTGAGGTCCCCTCTTTAAAGGGAAAGCTTTTTATGTTCTCCCTACTGTATAGAAGTTTTATCCTGCCCCTACCATCCAACTATCAGTTTTTGAATAAGAGAGCCACACCATTGATCTTAGATCCGACGTCTCAAAGTACTTTATTTTTTTTAATATAAATTTTCTGAATATGAAATTTGGTACGTGCCATTTTCTTAATGGGGCGCACCTATAAAAAATGTTTCCAATAATTTTTCGATAAAATATAATGACCACCCTTTGAAATTTTCAGAAGTATTTTAGTCATTTTATTTTATTGAAAATATATTTTTTATATTTTTAGTTAGTACGAGTTTAATAGAGGAATGGACGTCCAAATTTTGGTGTCAAAATAGTTTATAAAAAAAAAATTAAAAATAAAATAGTGTAAAGACATGACATTGTAATTGGGGCAATCTTAACCCTTCATTAAAAAATAGACGGTTGGATAAAGAGAGGATATAACTTCTATGTTGTAAGGAGAACATAAAAAGCTTTCTCCTCTTTAAAAGCCCAGCCTGTCACCATCCTCAATCCGAAACCGCTCCCCCGAACCTCCCCTCCCACCCCAAAATTCCAACCTTGGCTCATGCGATTCAGAATTATGTCATGTACGTTTATTTTGCTAATATAATGAATTAGATGCCAATTATCAATCTATGCACTTAATTCATATCTAGCATTCTGGTTAATAATGAATTTGGAGTAGAGGAATTTATTATCATTTCTTTGCCTCAACACCAAATTCATGGCATCAACAAAAAATAGGCTACAAACTATGAACCAACTATATGGATAGATAGATAAACAAGGAGCATCCTCAAGATATGTTGATGGGTTTGGTGAGAAGTTGCACATGCTGGCTATGGCTTGGATGCTGCCATGGACATAGACATAGCCCACTCATTCCATTATGGTAATTCCTTCGTTCATTTAGCCAGGACCTTTGCATAGTACGGGCTTACCTATCAATCATTGGGAACTTTGTGCTTCCTTCCATGTTCCTTCACCTATCATAAAAAAAATAAAATTCATCAGCCTTGTTCATCATTGATAAAAAAAGCATTAGGCTTCCACGTTCCTTCACCATCAATAAAATACTCTCTCTCTCTCTAAGTTAGTCATTTAGAAGCCCTTTAGTAGGGAAAAGATTTGGTGGTATGTGGAGTCCATTTTCAACACTTGTTCTACCGCTTAGTTTTGATGTCGAAAAGTCTTATAATAGTGCGAGAATCTAGTTTTATATCTAATAATAAAATTTTAAACACAAAAAATAGTTCAAGTCAAGCAAATCTATAAATGCTTAAAAATATTGAAAATAGACGGACCAGATAATGTATTGCAAGATGTATTATTTTTAAGACTTGAAATCACTTTGTTTTCACCATATCTATACATCTCGATGATGAGATGATCAATTACATATTTTTAGGAATCAAAACAACTTTTTTTTGTAAGTTTTTAGTAGTGTACCTTAATTCTACATTTTAAGATGTCAAGCTTCTACAAAACTTTTTCCTTTTTATTTTAGAATATAATACTTTGGATTTCAAGATATTTCATTTGAAATACTCCTTAGAAACATTTTTTCTTCTCTTTTATTTTCTTTTTCTTTTTGATCATTTGACTGAGATCTAGGGGTTTAAGAGCTCAATATATCTCTCCTTTTTCTTTAATTATTATTATTATTATTTTTTTAAATCATTAACAAGGTGGATGATCGATGATCTGAAAATTTTCAGAACAAACGAATCCCCCTATCAAAGTGTTTTTGGATGCAAGATCATTTGTTGGGGTGGTCTCTATAGACCACCCTAGCAATACCCCTTTTCAGTGCTTGATACAAATTCAGTTTGATTTTGATATGTCTATTTTATTATTATTGTTTGTCTCTTATGTTACCTTCCATCTAGCATGGCTTCCTGCTCTTTCCTCCTAATGGCCTACATTTTTTTTAATCTTATGTTAATGTCATGTTTTTAGGTGGAGACAACAAAAGAAGAAGTTCAGATGTTTCATTTCTTTCCCTCTATTATTTATGTGAGAAGGACAATGTAACATGATTAAAATAAACAAAACATGAAACAAAGATTTGTGTTTGATCATGCTTCAACTGTGCTTCCTACAATTACAATTAAATTAAGAATTGCATGTGTATTTCATGAGTTTTTCAAAGCATCTAAAACAAGGCAATCCATGGGGAAATTTCTAAACCCATGCTTAAGATAATCATGATTGGTTAATATACAATGTGCATGTGTACTTAAGGACAAATAATTTTTCTAATTAAAGGTTTATGGTGACTAATCTCTATTAGGTTTAGTTAGGGAAAATGCCCTTATCCTTGGGGTTTAGGGGACATCAACAACCAAGGATTCCACTATGCTCCCCTCGAAATGTTATTGTAAGGAGAGGGATATTAGTCTTAGTCTTTCATTATTTGATAATTATGGTTTTAGAGAGAACTCTAAACTAAAGTTTAAGATGCTAAATGCTTTACAAAAACATGGCATTAACAATTATTAAGTTCAAAATCAAGAGAGAGAGAATCATGAAACTTTTCTCGCTTTTTTTTTTTGTTGCAATTAGCATAGAAGCGTGCAGTTGTGCAGTTATGTTCGGAGGATACGCAATTAGGTGTACTTAACTGTTAGCATGGCCTGCAACAAGGGCCAAACAACAAGGGGATATATAGCATACACACCTTGTGTGTGCTACATAATACACAAAATGGGTTCCACATTTTTTTTCTCTCCTCTTAAATTAACAGGGGTCACCGTTTGTTCTCAACATTGATGGCAAGTTAATTGTAAATGTAAGATATACGGCCTCTTTAGATGTGTTCGTTATCAGTTATAATTCACTGTTTCAATGAAGTTAATCATGATAACGAGTTATTTGTGTTTTTGGTTGTCTGTCGTAAAATAATATGAGATAAACTTATAAGCAATATTATATATGGGAGCCTTTTTGTACAAGGAGGTCACAATCATTATTGTCCCTTAGATTTCAAATTGGGTGGTTGTAAGAGCGTCATTGATTAAACACAAAGTTCAAAACAATAATTCTCGAATTTTATAACTCACCTCATGCCATCCAATTTGACATCAATAAGTGGGAATAGTTGTGACCTCTTTGTACAATAGGTGAATGGTCTCTTTTGTAGACAATCTCTTTATATACAAGTTTATTTTTATAAAAGCTGTTTTTACTTTATTCAAAGTAATTTGGTGAACATCAGATGTCGTTGGCTAAAAATATGTCGTTGGTTAAAAATAGGTAAAAATAGTTAGAAATCACTGAAAAGTCAAATATTGAAATTATATTATGTATGATACAAGATATGCACCAAACAACTAAAAAAAGATTATGCAATGTATATTAATTTTGGATAAGATAACATATTCTAGATAAAATTGGTTGTCATTGAAACATGCCCATATTCATCCAAGTTTGGATCAATCTATAGCAATATCGGGAAACTTAGCAAGTCCAACTCAT